CAAACAACGGCACAACACGAGCTCCAATATCATCTTCAATAGACCACATCCTCCAGAGCGCGAGCCTTGCGAGGGAAAACCCGCTTGTACAGACTGATACCGATAGAGTCTTGGGGGTTGATCTTGGCGTCGAAGGTAGCCTTGAAATAACCGTGCGTACCGAGGGATTCCTTGATATAACCACTGCGGCCGCGTCTGGTCCAGAGCTGGAGGGCCTTGAACCACTGGATGTCCTCGGGGTTGAAGAACATGTAGCGGACGGTGACGACGCGCTTGTGGATCTTGTAAGGGTGGCCGGTGAGAATGGCGCGCTTGGCAACGACGCGGGACTGGTCGGGGGCCACGATGGTGCCGTTTCCGATGAGTTCGAGGTTGTCGAAGTTGTTGAGGGAGTCGTCTTCGGCGGAGTCCATAACCTCGGGATCCTGGTTGGTCTTGTTCTTGAAGACGAGGACGGGCACGGCGCCCCAGGTCAAAGGACCGATCCAGGAGGCGACGGCGCTGCGGCCTGGGTGGAGGAAGCGGTCGAACTTGTGCACGTTGTTGGGGGTGTTGTCGCCAGCGGAGAAGATAGGGTTGACGACCAGACGGCGAGGACCGCATTGGACGACGAGCTGCTCCTTCGACTTCAGGGGCTCCTCGACGCTGGAGTTCAGGTGCATGTTGATGTTGACAACAGTGTGCTTGTGCTCGTGACGGAGCAGAGAGAAGAGGGATGTGGGCTGGGGCCGGCTACGGAGGGTTGCTGGCACTGCCTTGAGGTGCACATCGACACGCACACCAGGGTTGACACCTCCGACGAGAGCCTCGCGGAGGAACTTGTTCCTGGAACCCTTGTAGTCCGCGAACTGGAGCAGGCGGCGCCAGTCCTCCGGCTCGTGGGGACGGTCTTCTGATGTCTCCCAGGGGCTGGTCTTGAAGCTCTTGAGACCTCTGAAGCGAGCCAGACGCTCCCGAGCGAGAACGTTAGGGTGAAGCTCGATTTCGTCAGGGAACTCCAAATCTTCGTTAGCCTCTTTTCTGCGGCTCGCACGGAAATCCTCCAGGTCTTTGGCCTCGTCTTCTGGTGACGGGTCGACGAACATCTCTGACTGGGGATACTCCGATGGGCCAGCCTCCGTCATGGCATCCCTGTTATCGGGGAAGACACCATCTTCGGGCGCTCCCGCGGTGTCCATCTCCATCTCTTCAACTTCATCCTCGTCTTCAAGGTCGGAGCCAGAGTCCGACACGTCATCCAAGAACCAAGCGGACTGATACTCCGAGGTACCCTTGGGTAGCCTCTTAGGCTTCGGGGGGATGTGAGAATCGTCATCGGAGAAGTAGTGGTGGTCGTCCAGGAGCACACCCTTGCGCTCTTCCTCAACAGGGAATTCGTCATCTTCCATCTCAATCTCCTCTGGTGCCACAGTGGCCAAATCATCGCAGTCCGCAGAAGGTCCATCCAACAGCTGGGGAGCCTCAGTCTCATCGACATTCATAGCATCGTCACGCTTCCCGCGGGAAGTAGCGAGTGGTGCTGCTGTGATGGCACCAATCTGGAAATCACCCCATCCGGGGATATGGACCAAGCGGTCCGCCTTCAGGCCCTTGCCGCGGACAACACCGGTAACCACAACATCGTCGACTTCCTCCGCGTTGGTTTCAGGCCACTGAACGTTTTCGACGAACATCCAACTGCGCTCATCACGCCAGCGGATACCCTTGGGTGTAGCTGTGCAGAGGGAACGAATGGCGTTGGAACATTCCTGGCGAGAGTCCACCGAGAGGACCTTTTCGACGGACGGGAAGAAGTGGTTCGCAAAAGACTTGAGAGAAGCTGCCACCTGCGGGCGCTTCTTGGCCGGGTTGATCTGGTCCAAACCCTAGACGAATTCCAGTCAGTGAAAAGGCGACCATCGCCATATGCGAGAAGCCTGAACTCACCTGAACCATGGCAATAACGTTCGAGATACCCTGACCCTCAATGGACCGCAGCAACAGCTCTCCTTGTTCCTCCACTTCGACCTGGGCGGAGAGCGCCAGGACCACGAAATCGGCCATCCGACACACATCCAGAGCGTTCATCAAGTCATATTTCGCCGGAATGTACTGCAAGCTCTGGCGGAAGCGATCGACACGGACCCGAGTGGCGGAGTCTGGGGAAATCTCCGCGGAAACATCGACACTCTCGTTCAAGGCGCGGATGATGGCAGCCACATCGATATCAACGGAAAGCGGCACAACGGCCACATGACGTGGGGCACCGTTCTGACCGGTGAAAATGCTAACGGACTGCGCCTTCTCCTGATGTTTCAATTGCTGCTTCTGACGAGCCTGGTTCCGGCGATCGAGTTTGGATTTGAGCTGCTGGTGAGGGGTCTTGCGGGTGCCCCGCTCTTGTCCTTCGACCTTGCCTGGATGTATGTCAGCCTATGATGCTATTTCGAAGAAATTAGACACGAGAAGATTTCTCCGGCGCACGTACCCTTGGCCTTGTCCTTCAGCGCACTCTTGGAGGCATGGCGTGACTTGTATGGTTTATTGGAGGATTTGGTTGTGGAGCGGTGGTGATGCTGCACCGTCTGGGTGGGCGCCATGTTGGCACCACTGGACCCTTTGAATCGGTACGGAAGAGAGGCCAGCGTGAATATTTAGAAGAGCGAGAATAAACGCGATACACCTAAATGCCCGATATCACGAATAATGAAAGAGTAGCCTCTAGAGAGATCTGGACCTGATACTCCGGCGGCGGTTGGAGAGGAAAAAATTAGGCGGTGGAGGAACAAGCGAGGAAAGCAAAGCCGCTCGGCACGGATTTTCATCTTTTGACCCGCAGAAAAAGCTGCCGATGAGCCTCCGTCTACTGCTCTGACTTTTATTGACTGTACGACATTTGCATTATTTGTCGACTCAAACGAGTTCTCTTGTTGAACTTTTTTTTCTATCCCCTCATATCTTACTCACCTCCTTATCGACACACCACCCCCATGGCGGGACCAACAACGACGGCCGTTGCGCCGGCCGACAACAAGCGCAAAGAAAGCAAAAGAGTGATGGAAGCGCAAAAGACCTACGGCCGGGGTAAATCCATCCACACCCACAGCGTTCGCGACAAGAAACTGCGCAGCAATCTCAAAGCCGTGGAAGACAAGTACAAGGAGGCAGCCCTGAAGGCCAAGGATGCGGAGATTTTGCTCGAGCACGATGCCGGATTCCTCGAGCCCGAGGCAGAGCTGGAAAGGACGTACAAAGTTCGACAGGATGAGATTCGCGAAAGTGTCGGCATCGAAACAGCCAAGAAGGGATTCGAGCTCAAGTTGACCGATATGGGACCCTACCGGATGGACTACACAAGGAACGGTCGCGAATTGCTGTTGGCCGGGCGCAAAGGGCATGTGGCGACGATGGACTGGCGGAATGGAAAGCTGGGATGCGAGTTGCAGTTAAACGAGACTGTGCGCGATGCTCGGTGGCTGCACAACAATCAGTTCTTCGCCGTGGCGCAGAAGAGATCCGTTTATATCTACGACCATGCCGGTGTGGAACTGCACTGTCTCAACAAGCATCTCGAGCCTCTTTTCCTTGAATTCCTGCCTTACCACTTCCTTCTCGCGAGCGCCGTGAGTGCACCTTGCTTCCCGATGTATAACCACAGAACTCAGACTAACCATATCTTCATAGCAAATGAGCGGCTACCTCAAATACACCGACACCTCAACCGGTCAAATGGTCGCCGAGCTGCCCACCCGCCTCGGTGCTCCCACCTCCCTCGCCCAGAACCCATGGAACGCCATCCTACACGTCGGCCACCAAAACGGCACAGTGACGCTCTGGTCTCCCAACTCACAAACTGCGCTCGTGAAAGCCCTTGTCCACCGCGGCCCCGTCCGCTCGATGGCTATTGACCGCCAAGGCCGGTACATGGTATCGACCGGTCAAGACCAAAAGATGAACGTCTGGGACATCCGCATGTTCCGCGAAGTACACAGCTACTCATGCTACCAACCGGGTGCCTCCGTCTCCATCAGCGACCGGAATCTCACAGCCGTGGGCTGGGGCACGCAAGTCAGCGTATGGCGGGGTCTCTTCGACGCCGCGGCCGCCGACCAAGGCAAGGTACAGAGTCCCTACATGGCCTGGGGCGGCGACGGCCAACGCATCGAGAACATGCGCTGGTGTCCTTTCGAAGATGTTCTCGGTGTGGGCCACGACCAAGGCTTTGCCAGCATCATCGTCCCCGGCGCCGGTGAACCCAACTTCGACGCCCTGGAGGCCAACCCGTACGAGAACACCAAGCAGCGCCAGGAAGCCGAAGTGCGCGGTCTGCTGAACAAGCTGCAACCGGAGATGATCTCTCTGGACCCCAACTTCGTCGGAAAGCTCAACACGATCAGCGACAAGAAGAACCGCGAGGAACGCGATCTCGATCGCAGACCCGAAGACCCCATGGAGAAGCTCAAGAACCGTGGTCGTGGTCGCAACAGTGCGTTGCGCAAGTATCTCCGCAAGAAGGGTCGACGCAATGTCATCGACGACAAGCGCGTCAAGGCCGAGATGTTGCGCAAGGAGCATGCTGCTCGCCACAAGGAGAAGTTGCGCTCCGAGAGGGAGAATTTGGGTCCCGCGCTGGCGAGATTCGCCAAGAAGGAGATTTGATCTTCTTCCTTTTCTTCTGTCGAGGACGACTGCACTTGTGTTTAGTATTCTTCTTGTCGTTCTGCTGCTACTGCTACTGCTGCTGAAGGACGACTTTCAGATACCCTGCTTTAACTATCTAACCATCGCGCGAGAGGCTTTTTCTGCTTCCTTCCTCTCTCTCCCCCCGTCTTCATTATCGTCTGTGTGTCACGATCCTTCTTTCGAGCAACTGGTGTGCGTCTGTTTGTCTGCATTATAAGGGCGTTTGTTGGGGTGAGATACAAAAACCGGACATGTTGGGAATGTATGTATATCAAATCAAAAGTTTCACGATAGACCGCCAACCTTCTTCACCAATGAACAAGAAACAAACGAACAAATAAATAAATAAATAACTGAAATTCTCTTTTATATAATGTAATAAATAACATCAAACCATATCACGCATCATCCACACTCCCGGACCCCCTCTTCGCACCAGCCTTCCACCTCGCCAAACTATGTTCATACGCACCGCTCGCCTTCCAAGCACTCAGAATCAGATTAACAATATCCTGGACTCTCGTCCCACTCTTAACCACAGCAAACACCGTCGGTCCACCCTCTCTCATCTTAGCCGCATCCCTCTCCATAACCGCCAAATCCGCACCGACAGCCTCAGCAAGATCGATCTTGTTCACAACCAGCAGATCCGAGCCCGTGATACCGGGTCCACCCTTGCGGGGCACCTTATCACCACCAGCGACATCAATCACGTAGATAATGAAGTCAGCCAGCTCGCGACTGTAGTTAGCGGCGAGGTTGTCGCCTCCGGATTCGATGAGGAGGAGGTCGGTCTGGAATTGCCTGTGCAGGGATTGCAGAGCCAGGAGGTTGGCGCTGATGTCTTCGCGAACGGCGGCGTGAGGGCAGCCGCCGGTTTCGATGGCGCGGATGCGGGACGGGGAGAGGGCTTTGTGGCGGGTGAGGAATTCGGCGTCTTCTCTGTTTTGTGGTGGAAAGGAGGATTGGGTTAGTTGTTGATTACTGTGGGTATTTGAGGGGGGGGAGGGGGAGCGGTTGTATACCTGGTGAAGATGTCGTTGGTGACGGCGGCGATGTTGTACTCGTCGCGGAGGGCCTGGCAGAGGGCCAGCATGAGGGCGGTCTTGCCCGATCCGACGGGTCTACATGGATGAGTTAGATCGAAGGTGCAGATGGGTGTGAGGGTAACTTACCCTCCAATGCCAATGGTAAAGGCACGGTCCTTCCAGTCACGCTCCTCCGAGAGAGGCATCTCGCGGTTTATGTATGAACCGGGGCCATCGAGGATCTCGTGGGAGTGGCCGTGACCACCGAAGTCATCGTGGGAGTGGCTGACGTCGTTGTCGTGAGAGTGGGAGTGAGACATGGTGAGATATTTTGAGGGATGATAAAAAGAAGTATGAACAGAAGGAAGAGAAAGTGGAGGGAGGAGAGAGAAGGAAAGAAAGTAATAGTGGATGGAGGGGTCACTCACATTGGGAGGGGAGCCCCAGGCCGGAGACTGCCGATGCCGATGCCAGGCGCAGTATTTAGTGGAGAGTCCCCGCCAAACTAGTAGTCGGATGTTCGGTACCACGTATTATTCGAGAATGAGAGAGAGAGAGATAGAGAAAAAAAAAAAGTAGTAGCAATAATAGTAGGAAATGCATTGCTCTTCCACACGTACAGTAGTAACAATAGTAACGGCAGCAACTATCAACACAGAATTATTTCCAGGGAGGTAGAACCGGACGCCGGAGCACTTCAATCGCCCATGATAAAAACGTGGATATCAAAAATCCTGCAACGCTCAACTTCAGGATATGTGTCAACCGCACCTCAATCCCCGCGCGGCACAGCACATGCAGATAGGGACATCAGTCAAGAAATACGGCAAAATCAGTAAGCCCAACGCAAATCCACATAACACGCATCTCCATCTTTCGCATGAGACATCAAAGGGGAACGCAATCGGCAGCTATGTTCAACATATAACAGGAATCCCGCAGATGGTTCGGAACGCAGAAGTAGAGCCTCGCACATAGGTATCCTAAAGGTACGCCATATTCCCGCCGAGTGAGACTGAAAGAGAAAAGAGTTCAGAAGTAGAAAAAGAATAGACACGAGCACACCCAAACCAGCGGCAGACAGTATTACTGGCTGATCGAGGTAGACAACTTAACCACCCCCCTTCTGCTTTTTGGCCCCTACTCGAGGACTGGCCTTGACTTTGGGGGCAGCTTGGCCGGCTGTCCCATTAACCTCGCCGCCGTTGTCATCGTTCTCCATCTTCACGGTGCTAGCCCGACGGCGCTTGTTGCCCACATTGGGACTTGCGCTCGCACTGGTCCCCTGCGCCATATTGCCTTGTACTTGACCCTGGGGAACCATTCCCGGCGGACCTGCGAGGTGACTCTGGGCGGGACTGGGATGCGCGGAGCCGGTTAGATGAGGCGAGCCCTGAGCGCCCGGCAGGCCAAGATGAGTCATGGCAGGAGATGCAAATTGGTTAGGCATGCTCATACTGGGAGCCCGTGGCTGGCCTTGCTGTAGGGCCGGGTTCATGGGACCCTGCGTATAAGCTGCATTGGGAGGCGGCGCCTGCATCGTGTTCACCAGAGTCCGCAGGGCTTCGGAAGGTGTTAAGTGGGGATTTTGCTGGGAGAATTGGAATAGGACTTGCATGTGAGAGATGGTTTCCGCAACCTATAGCACAGGAGTGTCAGAAGAGTACTTTTATAGCGATTACGTGGAAGGGCTTACCTCAAGGAAACTCATCACAGCCGTGGGGACGCCATTCGGAGTAACCATGGATTCGGGCAAGGTAAATGCAGGCTGTTGTGCTTGTTTGGCCTGGGCGCGTTTTCCCATATTCTTGGACACCTTGGGACTTTGTTTCTGCTGATCGGCCAGCTCCAAAGCCTGTAGCTGACTCCTAGGCAGGTATTCGTTGTGGTCCAGCACCGCGATATCGAGCATCTCAATCTTGTTGTTCATATCGAAATGAGCCGTCATGTTGGCGCGCGCAAAAAGCTTATCCACGTCAATATCAAAGCGTATATTAGAAAGGGCAAGAGCCGCGCATGCATACCTGACTTCCATTCGCGAACCAATAGATGAAAGCAGTCTTCGCACTCTCCACTATGTGGCCTCCGTTCGGCGAATCCCTCTCCCGCGCTCCATCAACCAACATCTGTATGTGCTTGATCCCACTTGTACACTGGGTCAAGTAATAGCGCGCCAAAGCAGGAGTGGCGATTTCAAACTGCTTGGAGGAATTTGCTTGTGGGTTACAGACGGTATGTCTTAGAACACCACCTGGGGAATAGAATCTCAGCACAAAATTGTGCCATTGGTTGTAATCGGTGCTCGCGTTCTCAGTGCCCTGTTAACAGTTAGTACTCGGCCAGGAGAACACAGTGAGCCAAAATTGTCAATTTGACATACGGAGATGTAGCTAAGGCTTTCGGCAAAGGAGTTGAGCTGCAGGATGGCAGCACCTTTCATGTTCATCCGTTGCTGTTGCTGCTGCATCATCATGGCGGTCGGGTTTTGCTGCTGTTGTGCCTTGATCTGGGCTTCCTGGGCAGTCATCGGTGGCTGTTGCTGACCCTGCTGCGGACCTTGCTGATTAGGTTGAGGTTGAGGTTGGGCTTGGGCAGCTTGCGGCGCTTGTGGTTGCTGGCCCGGTTGCTGAGCCTGCGGCAGCTGTTGCGGAGGTGGATTGGGAGTAGGTTGCGGCTGAGGAGCTGCCGGCTGCTGTTGCGGTGGTTGTGAGGTAGGTACCGGCGGAGGATTGGGTTGAGGGGTGGCACTCCCCTGGTGTGGCGGCGGTCCCGGCTGAGGTTGAGGAGTGACACTCTGGGCATCGTGCACGTTCTGGGGTTGTGCCGCTGCACGCTGCTGGGGCGTCTGCTGACCGGGCTGCCCTGCGGCAGCCGCCTGTTGGATCTGAGCCTGGTGCGCTTGTTGCTGGGCTTGCTGCATAGCAAAAAATTGTTGTTGCTGCTGAAGATTTTGCGGCTGTCCATGGGGCATTTGTTGAAGTTGCATTTGCAGATTAACCGGGCGCATAGCAGGATTCGCCTGCATGGCAGCGATCTGAGCTGCATTGAGGGCGGGTGCCCCGTTCGGTAGCTGCACTGGTAACCCGCCGTGCTGTTGCTGTTGCTGTTGCTGTTGATGTTGAAGCATCATACGCTGCCTGAGATATTGCTGCTGCTGGTGCTGCTGCAGGAGTTGAGGGTTGTTGGCAACTAAGTGATGCATAGGTTAGCACGCTATTCCATGAGGAAAGGAACGACACAAACGGGGAAAAAAGCAATGAGGATAAACCGTGCAGGGCGACGGCGGAAAGGGGTTCGCCCTGGAAAAGACTCTGGAAAACATACATTGTTGTGCAAAATGCGGCTGCTGGAACATGTGCGCTTGAGCAGGGCCAAGATGCGAGAGGGCATGAGCCTGTACAGCACCCCCCGGACCAGTTGTGCCAGCGCCCGGAGGCATCCCACCCATCACCGGTCCGCCCTGACTAACCTGAGGACCTCCTGGTGCCGACACGCCGGGATGCACCTGCTGGACCATGCCAGCACCGGGATGAGCATTGGGATGTTGACCGGGAGCCATTGGATGACCTGGAGGCAAACCGGGATGCTGTGGGATGCCTTGATGGGCAGGAAACGTTTGCGCCATCATCATGTCGTGGTTACGAAGTCGCCGATAACGGGACTCCTCAAAGTCGGTGAGAGACGGGAAGGAGGGGGTAAAGAATAGAGAGCACGACTATATAGCACAAGGAAGGATAAATTGGGAGGTCAGAAAAGAGAGACGTCGAGCGAGAAGGCAAAAGACCGTCGTGTCGACTATCCGGCACGCAGAGGGCGGGCGTCGGACTCGAGGAGCGCGCTTGACGTGGAGGCACAACAGGCCGCTTTTAGTGTCGGAGCGGAGGCCAAGACGCAGCTGACGGGGCGATTGAGCCTGCGTCGGTATCACCCAGGACCACACGAGATCTGGAGCATGGATCGGACCGGCCTAATCACCTGTGCCCACCAGATCGGGAGGGAGGAGAAGATCCTACACCTCCAATGTTAGTGGGAGGGAACGATTTAGAGGGAGGCTGGGGTGGGTGGTGTTAGGTGGATGATCGGGAACGGGAGTTGGTGGTGGGTGGTGAGAGACAGCAGTGAGGAAATGGAATGATGGGGGTGCTGGGCAGTGAAAGTAGAGTAGACTAGTAAAGATGGTAGTGATGGGATTAGGGAGGCCGGGAGGTGTGGAGGGGCTAGGGGCCAACGAAAAGCGAGACGGGCACCTGTCGCGATCGCCAGTTCAATCGCTCGATAACGAACGGGGCGTGCTGGACCGAACCTCGCGGGAAGAGTGATTAAAGTGGTACCCAAAGACACTTACCACGCGCAACAGAACTAGCAGCCCAGAAGCGGGAAGAGGGGGGAAAGGAGGAAAATCTGGAGGAGGCGGGAGAGGAATGATGGGGGTTAAGAGGAAGAGAGAGGAAAGGAAAAAAAAGAGCGAGGTAGAGAGAGAGAGAGGGAAGGAGAACAGGAACCGTACGGGAAGCAGAAGATACTAAGGCAGGGAAAGGGACGAGCCAGCGAGAGAGAGTACAGCCGGGACAACACTCACTCACTCACTCACTCACTCAGAAAGTCAGTCGGTACCCAAGTGAGAGAGCGAGAGAGAGAGACAGACAGACAGACAGACAGACCAGACCCATGGCGAGATCTTCTTCCTTCCTCCGGCCTGCTGAGGCTTTTCTTTTCTCACTCGTGATTGGCCCATTATTGACGATGGCCACCCACCGCGACTTGCTCGCTATGCCTCTTTCGGGTAAGCCGGCATCACGTGAAAACCGGAATAATATTCTTGCGCGTGGGCTGCTTTTATTATTTTCGGTCGCGATTTGGTTTTTCTTCTTCCTTCTCTTCATCATTCGCCTCTCCATGGCTCAACACTCTTGCCAGGCTGCTTTTCTGGCTTTTTCCAGAGTCGCATTTTGATCCTGTGCATCTACAATCTTCTTGGTTCTGGTCTGGATACGCCACGCGTCAATCCTATGCCCAGTTGTAGCTTTTCGCAGTATAAATGCATACTGAGACTGATACATCAGACCACTACACTAACACATCAGGTTGTGCTGCAACACTTCCAGTTGTCACAAGGTTAGTCTCAATTTCTCACTTTTTTCTTGCGATATACCTTTCCTCCCCTCCATCCCCTTTCGAAGATGACAGAACCTTCTTTTCTTCTTTATCCTCTGAATCGTCCATGAGGAGATAGTTCGGACCTTCCTTTCCCGGTTGGTCTGCTACTTGCCAGTATACTTTGTCTGAGAAAAACCATCATTGCATTTATTTTGTGCCTCATTGTCATTCATCCTATGTCACGGGGAGTATTGGCTGACATCTTACAAGATTTTCAATTTAGGACTGTTAATAATTTATTTTTCACTCCGACGTCGATTCTC